GTTGCAAAGACTAAAGTCTCAAATCCAAAGAGATATTCTTTATAAAATTTAAGATTCAGCCACACCTACCTAAAACGGCTCGTTCTAACACGCCCCCAACTGGGGGTAGACTGAACCAAAAGTGCATAAAGTAGAAAGTGAAAGGTGGAGGAGGAAGTGTCATGGTTTGAGGGATGTTTGGGTCTAACCCTAACCCATGTTGATCAGAACCTCCTTCAGCAAGATGCGGTTCCTTCCCTGCAAGCATCTCCCAATCAGCCAAAGACAATGTCCTCGTCACACTGCAAAACGGGTAAAGCAGTTCCTTGAAGCCAAGAACACTGAAATAATGAAATGACCGGCCCAGAGTCCTTAACCCAGATTGAAAATCTCTGGAAAATCCTTGGGACAAAGTTATGGCTAAGAAACCCACTACAGTCACCGAACTATGGAAGAGAGTGTAAAAAGAGTGGAGAGATCACTGCAGCTCAGTGTGAGGAACTAGTGATGTCCAGTGGCCCCAGATGTGCTGAAGTCAATCAAAGCAGGGGCCTCTACACTTCCTACTCATTTCTGACAGCTGTAACTAGGGCTGGACGATATGGCCAAAATTGATATCACGATATATTTCTTAATTTCGGTCGATACGATATAATTCCGATATCGATATGAATACACTATTTATCTGAAATAGAAATCTTTTGTAACATTATAAATGCCTTTATCATCACTTTTGATCAATTTTAAGCATCCTTGCTAATATTAAACATTTTAAATCTACTTGACTACACTGAATGTTTGGTTGTTCAAAATGAGAAATTATGATTCCTCTGACTGCAAAGAAATCACACTTTTCATACATTTCAGAGCACATATACATAAATACCAAGATTTTTTTTAGCTCTTTCTCACAGCTCCAGTTGCGACCAGAGACAGATGTGTGAGCGCCTGCAGTAAAAACAAGCGCAGATGCAGAGAGCGTGAGGTTTGTTAACTGGGTGATGGCTGGAGCTCTACAACCTTTTTCAGACAAACGTGTGAATGTGAAACCTCTGGGAAAATATAACCTGAACAAAAGCAATATACTTATATAAAACCAAGCAGCGAAACCCCTCCATAGTCTAAAAATATACACTGCATGCCATCAAATAATGACATGCTGACATTTCCAGTAGGTCTTAATCTATAATTCTTTAATATTTTAAAAGCCATTGTCTGTGTTTCTTGTCCTTAGGTTGTAAATGGCTCTGACAGAGTAGCTGTCACTGGAACAGACCACAAAGTGGTGAAACCATATGCACCAATGTGCCAAGAGCTCATGATAGGCCATTGACGGACATGCCCACATAAACAAGCGAGGAAAGGAGCCAACTGGCGTGCCAGTGATTCAGCCTGCAAGCTGTTCAAACATCAGTTTTCTCTTTCCTCTCTCTCTCTCTCTCATCATAATCATTGACTCCCATTTGGTAAGCCGCTAATCCAAATAAATGGATTCAGAAATTAAGGCCATTCAAAAAAAGAGGGAAAAACAACATACAGTATATTCTGATACTGTAATCCCTGATTCACTTTCTGTCCTCTGCAAAGTGCTAGATCTGATCTGTATAATGGACACGGTACAAACAAATAATAAATTGCTAAACAAATAGGTCTCAAACTATCGGCCTGTAAGATTGTTTTATGCAGACCCACATGTGTTAAAGGAATAGTTCACTCAAAATGAAAAGTTGCTGAAAATGTATTCACTCTCAGGCCATCCAACATGTAGATGAGTTTGTTTCTTCATTTGAACAGATTTGGAGAAATGTAGCATTACATCACTTGCTCAGCAATGGATGCTCTGCAGTGAATGGGTGCCGTCAGAATGAGAGTCCAAACAGCTGATAAAAACATCACAATAATCCACAAGTAATCCACACCACTCCAGTCCATATCTGGTGAAGCCAAAAGCTGGGTGTTTATAAGCAACATTGAGACACTGTAACTTTAAACCATTACTTCTGACTAAAATACGAGTCCTCTATCCATGATATTGCTTCCACCAGTGAAAACATAGTTTTGTCTGAATCAGGAGAGAAATCTGCTGCACAGATCAAGCATGGTTTACAAGTGAAAATAGTCCAAACCAGTTCTAAACAAATATGTCAGTGGATTTTGATTGTGAGAGACAACAGGAGATGGACTTTTCACTGGAGGAAGCGTATGTATTATGGACTCGTATTTTGGCTAGAAGTGATGGTTTAAAGTTAAAATGCCTTACATGTTTCTTGCAAACATGCAGTTTTCCACTTCACAAAATGTTAACTGATGGACTGGAGTGGTGTGGATTACTTGTGGATTATTGTGATATTTTTATCAGCTGTTTGGACGGCAATTCTGACGGCACCCATTCACTGCAGAAGATCCATTGCTGAGTAAGTGATGTAATGCTAAATTTCTCCAAATCTATTCCCATGAAGAAACAAACTCATCTACATCTTGGATGGCCTGAGGGTGAGAACATTCTCAGCAAATTTTCATTTTTAGCTGAACTAGTCCTTTAAATGTTTATCCCTAAATATGGCCCACAAATCTTTTTTTTTTTTAATGTTTTTAGTTGTTTTCTTAACATATAGCCTAAAGTGTAGTTACTTCAGTTCCAAATGTTTATGTAGCTCATCTGATGGTAATTGTAACACCAAAGTCATGGATTTGATTTCTAGTGAACATGAACATTCTCAGCATTTTTAGCTGAACTAGTCCTTTAAATGTTTATCCCTAAATATGGCCCACAAATCTTATTTTTTTTTTTTTAATGTTTTTAGTTGTTTTCTTAACATATAGCCTAAAGTGTAGTTACTTCAGTTCCAAATGTTTATGTAGCTCATCTGATGGTAATTGTAACACCAAAGTCATGGATTTGATTTCTAGTGAACATGCATAATGATTAAATTCCAGATATATTAAATGCATTTTGAGTTCTGCCAAATGCATGTACTGCCATTCAAGAGTTTGGAAAGATTTTTTTAAAAGAAATTAATACTTTTGTTTATCAAGGATTAATTAAATTAATCACAAGTAATAGTAAAGACATTTATAAAAGATTTGTATTTCAAATAAATGTTGTTCTTTTGAACATTCAAAGAATATTGAAATAAATGTATCAAAAATACGAAGCAGCACAACTGTTTTCAACACTGATAATAATCAGAAATGTTTCTTGAGCAGCAAATCAGCATCTTAGAATGATTTCTGAAGGATCATGTGACACTGAAGACTGGAGTAATGATGCTGAAAATTCACAGGAATAATTACATTAAAAAATATATTCGAATAGAAAACAGCTATTTTAAATTGCAATGATATTCCACAATATTACAGTTTTTACTGTGTTCTTAATCAAATAAATGCAGCCTTGATGAGCAGAAGAGACTTTTTTCAAAAACATAAAAAAATCTTACCAACCCCAAACTTTTGAATATAGGCCAGGGCTCTACAGTGCGACCATTTCAGTCGCATTTGCGACTGAAAACTACTGCGTGCGACTATGAAACAATATTTAGGAGCACCTGTGTGACTGACCCGATCCAGCATATTTGTGTTTACGCTGAGGGAGCTTCAAAGGTTCTAATATAGGTACGTGTTTCTGCAGCGTTGAGTAATGTATCACAGACATATCTCATGAATC